CTAACTACTTGGGCACTGAAGAACAGGCTCTGGCATGGGATCCAGCTGAGGAAAGGAACTGTCACTGCCTGTGGAATCCACAGGCCTCCTTAGACAAAGGACACTTCCCTCACTTTGGGTCTGAACTCTTCAACCCTAATTCTAGTGTTGGGCAGCAAAAATGATTTAGTAACTCAACACCAACCCTCACCTGAGTTTGATGCTCAGGACACACAGGGTATAAGGAAAGAGTCAGTTCTGAAAGTTGTCCTCTGACCTCCACATGCACCCACGACACCCATGTGCACACACACTAGCACGCACACACACATATATATACACACACATATATATATAGAGAGAGAGAGAGAACACATGAATTTAATTCTGAAATAATAATAAAATTGAGCCAGGTGGTAGTGCACGACTTTACTTCCAGCACTTGGGAGGCAGAAGCAAGTAGATCTCAAAAAAAAAAAAAAAAAAGAAAGAAAGAAAAGGGGAGTGGAACCCAGGAGATTAGAGCACTCGCCGCTTTTGCAGAGGACCTAGGTTTGGTTCCCAGCACCCATGTGGGCTCACCACTGTCTGTAACTCCATTTGCAGATCTGACGCCCTCTTCCAGCCTCCACCAGAAAGTTGACACATGGTGCACACGCATGAGAGCACACTGGTACACATAAGGTAAAAATCAATAAATACTAATAATAAGCTATCTCCTGAACTTACAGTGGTTCCAGTTACAAGTTGTTGACTTTAAGACCCTGTGAAAGTTAGACTTCCAGCCTTTTTCCTGGCTGCAGATCTGTCATGCATACACTCTTAAGATGCTGGACAGCAGCCATGAGCTACGGCTCTCAGACACACTTCACCAGGGTAAACAGCAGATCCTACAGTGTACACTGCTGCTAGGTTTGGAAAAGTGGTACTTGATAATTACTGGACACAATCAACATTTTATTGAAAAAATAGGCTACACTGTTGGCATTGGTGGCACATGCCTTTAATCCCAGCTCTTGGGAGGCAGAGGCAACCAGCTCTCCATGAGTTCGAGGCCAGTCTGGTCTACAGAGTGAGCTCCGGGACAGTCACGGCAGTTACACAAAGAAACCCTGTCTTGCAGAACTAAGGAAGGAAGGAAGGATGGAAGAAAGAAAGGAAGGAAGGAAGGAAGGAAGAAAATAGGTTAAACTATAATGTTCAGTAGGTCAGGTGTGTCAAACGCATTTAATATTTTCAACTTACCATGAGTCTGCTGTTGTAAGTTGGGCGCCTGTACATGCAAACCAATATGAACTAGAGAATTTTCATCTTTTTCTCATAAATGAAGCACTTTACAACTCTTCTTTGATACATTAAAACAATCAGCATTACTAGTCTGGCACTTTAGGAGCCATTAAGTAAAAGAAGAGTTACGAGAACACGAGCACTGAGATTTAGGGTCATGGTTCTGCTAGCCAAGGCAGCTGCTAAGTGACGAACACATAGGAAGCACATACAGTGTGGGTACACTAGGCAGAGTGATGATGTAAGTCCCAGGTGGGACACACCAAGAAGGAACAAGATCCCACTGGCCACTCAGAACAGGCTTCCCAGAACAACACAAGTTTTAACATTATGAATGTCTGTTTCTGGAGTTTTCCATTTACTACTTTCAGACTACGTTTAACAATGGGCAAGTTAAACTTTGGAGAAGAGGGGCTCACTGTGTTGGTTTGGACCTACATTCCAGCATCCAGAACATCTTGGATCCCATTGCTACTGAGATGATGCCTAGGGTCCTGCTGCCCGCAATGTCACCAGCATGCAATCCACATCCATCCTAGCGACATCCATAGACATGCTGAGCAGAAATCCAGTAGCAGCACCCACTCATTGGCCTCCTTAGCTGCAGTCCCCCTGCCCACGTTCCTCTGTGTCACCTGAAAGGCTCTTATGGGAAATGAGACTACTTCTTACAGAAACACACATCCGCTGTCTCACACTTCACCACCCCCAATGCAATTTCTAGTCTAGAAAACTAATCAGATAAACTCTCTTTCCCTGGCAGGGTTAGGGTTCTCAGGGAATTCATTCAATAATGATAATCATTCACTTCTTCCCTAAGTTTCCCCAAGCCAATCTCTTTAATAACAGACTTTGGAACTTGAATCAGGACTGATGTTCAGCCTGTTGATGTGAGGTTTCTGGGTGGTACCATTTTCCCCCTTTGTAGAGATAGAAATCATCCTCCCTGCCCGCAGTCTTTGGGTGTGTGCCTTGCACAAGGGAGTCCATGAGCAGAGTTCACCAGCCCCGCCTCTCACAAGCTGTGACTGACCCCCAGGCCTCAGCTCCTCTAACAGTGTTGACAGCAGATCATTCCCACAGAGCATTTAAATGATACACATCATAAGCACTAAAATAGTAAGCAAAAAATATGTGGGTGTGGTGGTAGGAGAATTAGGAGTCACAGGCTGGCCTAACCCTAGGCTACAGAATGAGACCCTGTGCCAAAACTAAAGAAAATAATAACTGCTGAGGTGGCAGTGGCACACGCCTTTAGTCCCAGCACTCCAGGGAAGCAGAGACAGGTGCATCTCTGTGAATTCAAGGCCAGCCTGGTCTACAGAGCAAGTTCCAGAACAGCCTGGGCTTGTACACAGAGAAACCCTGTCTTGAAACTACCTACCCGCTCCCCTCCCCCAAAAAAAGAGAAAAACAGAGCTGGAGATGTAGTTCGGGTGGTAGGGTACTTGCCTGGCACGCAAAGCTCTGGTGGGATCCCCAGCACCACACAGATTGGCCATCAATAAGTTACATGGTAATTCGAGCACTGGGACAGTGGAGACAGGAGGATTAGAAATTCAAGGTAATCATCAGCTGCCTATTGAATGTGAGGCCAGCCTGGGCTGCATGAGATCCTGTCTCAAAGGAAATAATAAGATAGCAATAATAATAAACAATATTCTATCACAAAAATAATTGTGGCCACTGAGCTATACTAAATTCCTCTTCGAGTCCCTTTCTGAGCTGTAGTCTATCTGATGGTGAAATCTGGAAGTATTTCAAATTGTCCCATCCTGTCATATGGTTGCCTGCATCCTCCAAGGCGCCTGCCTTGCTCTTGTGACTCTGAAGTTCACCCTTTTCTCTGACTCGGAGCATTTCCATCAGCCTCAGATCACCTGGCAGAAATCGCATCTTTCAGCTCTCCAACTAACAGTTTGGGGATCCCTCCTTAGTCTCAAACTTAGCCTCCTACCAATATACAACGTTCGTGTGTGAGTCACTCACTGGCTATTGAATGAGCTCTTTCTTGGACCACTCACGGTATGAGGATACAGAGAAGGAGAAGGTGGAGAGGTTCCTACCCTTCACCCCAGGGAGCTTACACTGCAGTGGGGGACGAAGACAAGGACAAACAGACCAATTAGACATGCCACACAGTGGTGAGAGCTTGGAAGGAAAGGAAATAAGTGATGTCAGATGGCAGGCAGTTGGCATGCAGGAGGGCTTTGCAGATGGCCTAAAACCAAATCACAGTGTGTCTTTCGTGACCACATCTCATTAGAAAGACGGTTCTTGGGGCAGCCCACCAGACTCTTCTTTGTAAGCCGTCACAATGATGCCCTTGGATTTCAGGGTAGAAGTTGATGTGTGTGTGTGTGTGTGTGTGTGTGTGTGTGTGTGTGTGTGTGTATGTATGAAGGTATGTGTATGTACATACATATTAATATGTAATATGTATAAGTGCTTTTCCTGAACACACATCTGTTACCACATGATTGCCTGGTGAGCACAGATGCCAGAAAAAAGTATCAGATACCCTGAATCTGGTGGTTATCATCTGCCATATGGGTGCTGAGATTCGAACCTGGGTCTCTGGAAGAGATGCCTGCTCTTAAACATGGAGCCATCTCTCCAGCCCTATTTTACTTTTCTAAAGATTTGTTTTGGAGGCTGGAGGGATGGCTTAGTAGTTAAGAGCACGAGCTACCCCTCCAGAGGTCCTGAGTTCAATTCTCAGCTCCCACATGTTGGCTCAAAACCACCTATAATTGTAGTCTATAACTGTAGTCCCATGGAATCTGATGCCCTCTGCTGGTGTGCAGACAAAACACCCACAGACATAAAATACATAAAAAAATAAATCTTTTTTAAAATTAGGTGTGTGTGTGTGTATGTGTTGTGTGTGTGTGTGTGTAGTTATCTGAGGAGATTAGAAGCATTGCATCTTTCTGGAGTTGGAGTCACAGGCAGTGTGAGGCACCCAATGTGGGAGCTGGAACTACATTTGGGTCCTCTGGAGCAACAATATTCACTCTTACCCGCTGAGTTCTCTCTCCAGCCCTTTACTTTTTGAGACAGGGTCTCACTGAGATGTACATGTATGTATGCACACATGTGCATGTGAAGATCACAGGACAGTCCTCAGAAGTCAGTTAGCTCCTCCCACCCATGGGTTCAAAGATCAAACTCATGCCTTGCATGACAAGCACTTTTCCCCATGGGTCGTCCTGCCAACCCCACCCCACACCCCACACCCCATACCCACACTCTCTATTAAAGAGCCAGCTCATCTCCAAGCCTGAGAACTCTCCACAGACATCACATCCTCAAGACTCGTGAACTCCTGAAGGGAGGGAAAATATATGCAGACCCATTTTACAGAGGAGAAAGCAGGAGCCATGAGTTAATTCTACTTTCTCTGCATCTCTACAACTGACAAACTCTTTCCAGGACCCCAGGAGTCCCCATCACTGTGGAGGTCCAAATTTTCCACTGTGAATTTATGAACCAAGGTGGGCTAGCTGTAGAGGCAGGAAGCCTGAACCCAGATGAAGAATGAGGGGAGGGATAGTGCAATGGTGCATGCCTTTATTTCCCAGCACTCAGGAGACAGAGGCAAGCCGATCTCTGTGAGTTCAAGGCCAGCATAACCTACATAACAAGTTTCAGGGCTACATAGTGAGACCCTGTCTCAGAAAAAAATGTGAGGGGGTGGGGAGGAGAAGGCAACAAGTAGAAGCTTCCCCTACCTGGAAGGAGATTCGAGGTCAGCTCGGCTGAGGATTCTGTGCTGCTGGGGGCTATAGAGCCACTGGAAGGCGGTCAGCGTCCTCTCTTCTATTCGGAACCGCCCTTCCTGCATGTACCTGTGGAAGGGATGGGTGAGTTAGACGGAGGCTCTGCACCGACTGCTCCTTTAGACAAGTGACACCCTTGTCGCCCTGCTCACCTGCCAGAAAAGCCCTGGTTGCACAGGACACACTAAAATGGCTCTGCTGAGGACGTAACTATAAGGAACAAGTCTCAACTTTGTCAGTAGAAAAGCTTTCTAGAAGCTGGCTGCTCAGAATGGAGAAGAGTCCCTTGAGTGATGAGTTCCCTGGCACTGGAAGTATATAACAAGATTAAGCATCAGAAAAATGTCTATCCTGTAATCCCATCAGGCTAAGACAATGGTGTGTGTGTGTGTGTGTGTGTGTGTGTGTGTGTCTGCTGTCTGTCTGCCTGTCTGTCTGTCCGAGCACGTGCACTGTGGATGTATATGCACTCACCCACACATGCACATGTTAAATGTCATCTATCACTCTCCATCTTATTTTTTGAAACAGGATCTCTTAATGAACCTGGCCCCTGCTGATTGGCTAGACTGGCTGGCCCCACCACAACCACTCCTCCTAGAGACCCACCTATTTCCACATCCTCCAGTCCTGGGGTTACAGATGCAGTGAGGATCCAAACTCAGATACTTGTGCAGCAAGCACTTAACCCACTGATCTATCTCCCTAGCCTAACACTGGCCTTTCTGCTCTCACACCAGGACTGCCACTGAGTGTGACTCAGGATTCAGTGTCAGAATCAGATCCTCCACACCATTACAATACTCTCGCAGAGTCCCAGCTGGCCCCTGGCAGGACCAGAGAAGCTGGGCAAAGTGACACAAAGGGAAGATAGTCCTTCTCCTACTCTGGTCAACCCTTCCTTATAGAATCGTGCATCCATTCATTAATTCAACATGTATTGAATACTTTAGAGCAGTGGTTCTCAACCTTCCTAATGCTGCAACCCTTTAATAGAGTTCCTCATGCTGTACTGACCCACAACCAAAAAATTACTTTCATTGTTACTTCATAACTGTAATTATACTACTGTTATGATTACAATATAAATATCTGTGTTTTCCAGTGGTCTTAGGTGACTCCTGTGAAAGGGGCATTCGATATCCCCGACCAGAGAGGGGTTGGCACCCCTGGATTGAGATGGAAAAGCAGGCATGTTCTCTCACCCTCCAGGACTTTCAGTCCTGTGAGAGAGTATCCGAAAATAAGTATATCATGATCCAATTATAGTACTACACACCTGTAATCCTAGCACTTAGGAAGCAGAGGCAGGAGGATCACCACAAGTTCAAAGTCAACCCCATCTACATATTGAGTTCCAGGCCAGCCAAGGCTATATAAGGTGATCCTGCCTCAAAAAGGCAAAAAGAAAATTAAGCAAATGATCAATCAAACATTACTACAGCATTCTCCTATACTGCCATGAGAGAGCCAGTTGTCATCAGCCACCTATATTAATTCTAAATGCATGTCTCTGTTAATGCAGTGATGCTCCTCTGGAGACTTCATCTACAGTAAATGCAGACCAGGATAGTTGCAGGATATTAACATAGTGAAAGGCTGGTGCTGGAGAGATGGCTCAGAAGTTTGGAGCACTTGTTGCTCTTGCAGAGGACACAGCTTGGGTTCCCAGCACCCATACAGCAGCTAAGAGCAGTCCATAACTCCAGTCCCAGAAGGCACAACACTCTCTTCTGACCTCCGCAAGCACTACATGAGCATGATATGCAAACATACTTGCAAACAAAATACACAAACATAAATATACAAATAAGTCTTTGTTTTTTTTTTAAGAACAGCAAAAGACTGAGGACTGAATCTTGCCAATCCCCTTCCAGTAGGGACTACATAAAAAGTATGGTATGTCTATACAGTAAAAAAGTATACAGCTACAAATAAGGGTATTCTTGTATGCTATCCTGCCACCTCCAAGATTCACTACTAGAAAGTGGGGGGGGGAATCATGTATGGGTAATTGATGTTAAAAGAGAGTTGCTTACTTTATATATACAAACTCTGAAGACACAAAATGTAATAAAAGTTATTTCCTGGTTTGGGTGTGGAATAGGGTGGGTGAGGGAATGGGAAAGTGACAGGGCATCAATGTAACTTCTCATAAGGGAGTGATGACCTGTCTTAAAAGTGTGTGTGTGTGTGTGTGTGTGTGTGTGTGTGTGTGTGTGTGTGTATGTTTACAGCTACAAATGCTACGGGATAAATATTGTACAGCTGCTGTGCTATTGCTCAGGAGAGCCCAGGCCACCTGCTCAGGGAAGAAGTTTTCTAGGGGACATCCTGGGGGTGCAGGCAGAGCTGCGCTCCAAGGTTGAGGGAGGACTGCCTCATTGGGCTCAGGGTGCTGTCACTGAGGCTAAGTGTGCCTCCCCTTCCCAGGTACTGGAATTACAGGTAGGTGACATCACAGCAGGTTTTAGGAGGTGTCAGGGATCGAACCTGAGGCTTCATGCTTGCTAAGCAAGCACTCTACCAACTGAGCCACATCCCCAGCCTCCGGTCTCCTCTTACAAGGACCCCAATCTCATAAGGGCTCTCTACCTTAATTCCTTCCCACAGGACTCACCCTTCTGCCATTACGACCATATTGGGCAGGTGGAGTTTTAACCTATGGGTCTGAGGGACATGGCAGGGACTTGCTACGAGACAGGGGTGTTGTAAGACTCCAACAGAGACACCTGCTCAGACAAAGCTAGAAAACAGAATGACTGCCCTCGAGGCCTGAAAGAAGGCAGGGGTACTAAGAGCAAAGGACACCCATTGCTCCTGTGTTCTCCCAAACTAGAGATTCTGGCCCTGGCCTTGGTCTTCATTGTCTTCTATATTACCCAGTGGACTTTCAGGTCCTAGTTGCTGGTGGGAATAGCAGGGCATCTAGGCTGGACACTTTTGTTTGTTTGTTTTTGTTTTTTGAGACAGGGTTTCTCTGTATTGTCTTGGAGGCTGTCCTGGAACTCGCTTTATAGACCAGGCTGGCCTCAAACTCACAGAGATCCACCTGCCTCTGCATCCCAAGTGCTGGGATTAAAGGCGTATGCCACCAATACCTGGCTTTTTTTGTTTGTTTGTTTGTTTGGTTGGTTGGTTGGTTGGTTGGTTGGTTGGTTAGTTTTTCGAGACAGAGTTTCTCTGTAAAGTTTTGGAGCCTGTTCTGAAACTCACTTTGTAGACCAGGTTAGCCTCAAATTCACAAAGATCCACCTACCTCTGCCTCCCGGGTGCTGAAATTAAAATTGTGTGCCATCACCACCCAGTGAAGCTAGACACTCTTAAAGAGAACCAGGGGTGTCTCAGGTAGGACAGTGCTGGAGATGGATGGACAGTCCTAGGAAGACTTGCCCTTGAGCTAAAGAGGTAGGGTGGCAGGACCTGTTGCTGGGGTGGGCATGGATGGGATTCATGGGCAAGACAGGCTCCTGGTTTACCCAGGAAGCTGCTCACTCCGGATGAGAATACCTTTGGGAAAGAAATTCATGATTGCTGCTTGGGGTTTGAATTTTACTGTGACCTTCTTCTGCCCCAAAATTATTCCCCTTCTACTAACCTTGCCTTAAATGCTGCCTCCTCCAGGAAGGCTACACTCACTTACCCATCCTATTCCGACACCAATTCCCTACCTTCCCTCATCCTTAGACTCTTCAGGTTGATGCAGATGTGCATCTGTCATGTCCATGGGGAAACCAATCACACCAGTAAACTAACAATGAGAACAGAATGACTGTGTGGGAGCACTATATGGGGAGAACTATAGGGGGACTATTGTATGAGGGAACATTGTATGAGGAGCATTCTTTGTGTAAGAATCCTCATAGGGAGCCGGACATTGGTGGCGCACGCCTTTAATCCCAGCACTCGGGAGGCAGAGGCAGGCGGATCTCTGTGAGTTCGAGGCCGGGCTGGACCCACAGCCTCGAAAACAATACAGAGAAACCCTGTCTCGTAAAAACAAACAAACAAAAAAAAGAATCCTCATAGGGAGCACTATAAAGGGAACACTGTAATGACTTTAGTGCCACTGGAGTATGAACCGTGTGACAGTATTATACTTTCAAAAACTGAGCAATCTATTTTTTTTGTTTTATGAGACAGGGTTTCTCTGTATTAATTTGGAGGCTGTCAGTCCAGCCCAGCCTCGAACTCACAGAGATCCGCCTGCCTCTGCCTCCTGAGTGCTGGGATTAAAGGCGTGCACCACCATCACCCAGTTTTGCTTTAGTGTTTTGAGACAGAATCTCATATTGCTCAGGTTGACCTTCATATGACTACGTGACCAAAGCAGGCAATGAATTTTTTATTCTCTGGCCTTTTCCTTAAAAGTGCTGGGATTACAGGCCTGATCCACCACCCAAGCCCCTCTTGTTTCTATAGCAGCTTTTCTCGTTGCTGTATGGTACATTCATACACACAGAGGCCCATGTCCCTGATTCCTTTGTCCTTCTCAAACGTACCCTGCCTCTCCTCACCTGGGAGTGCTCCTCACTGAACTGCCATCCCTCCATGTTTGCCCCAAACCACACTGCCTCTGAATCTATGCCCAGTCTCCCAGCCAGAGTCCAAGTCAGCACTAAGATTCCAGATGTGTGACCTAACCTGGTTCACAGCACCACAACAGCCCAGCTTGCCCATGAGTGAGCTATTCCCAATGTGCCTCTCTGTCGCTCTGCCCCCCAGATTTGATAGTCAAGCCAGCCTGTCATAAAAATCACAGTAGCAATGGTAGTCGGCTCATTACCACCTTGGGAATGCTCTGCCACAGATGATATTTTTTTGTTTGTTTGTTTGTTTGTTTTTTGAGACAGGGTTTCTCTGTGGCTTTGGAGGCTGTCCTGGAACTAGCTCTTGTAGACCAGGCTGGTCTCAAACTCACAGAGATCTGCCTGCCTCTACCTCCCGAGTGCTGGGATTAAAGGCATGCGCCGCCACTACCAGGTTGATCTTTATTAGTGAGTTCAATTTACTAACTTAGGAAATGAGTTTGCCAATCTGGATCTCACAGAATATAAGAAAAATGGATCACCCATCCACAAATATCTTCCTGGATATCCTGCTGTGTATCTGAAATCCACCAACAGTTCTTGCAAGGAAATTAGTTACGCACAGAGATGGTTGTTGTATGGTGTGGTGGTATGTGGTGGTGTGTGATGGTGTGTGATGGTGTGTGTGTGTGTGTGAGAGAGAGAGAGAGAGAGAGAGAGAGAGAGAGAGAGGGAGGGAGGGAGGGAGGGAGGGAGGGAGGGAGGGAGGGAGGGAGGGAGGGAGGGAGAGACTAGGGATTGAAATCAGACTTTGTACATAGTAGGCACTCTACCACAGAGCTATGTTCCTAGCCTCAGGGCTAACTTTTCAATCCACTGTCAGCCACTAAAACTTGAGCAATGAGGAGCTGAAAATGTTCAGCAGCAGTTAGGAGTGCTTGCTGCTCTTGTAGAGGTCCCTCGTTCAGGTCCCAGCACCCACATCAGATGGCTTACAACCACCTATAACCAGTTCTAGGGACCAAACACCTTCTTCTGCCTCTGTGGGCACATACACACAGGGAAGGACACTAAGATATATACACATATAAATAACAAATAAGTAAATTTTAAGAAAAACTTAGCCTCCAAAACAATACAGAGAAACCCTGTCTCGTAAAAACCAAAAAAAAAAAATTTTTAAGAAAAACTTAAACAATAGGCCAGTAAGAGGGTTCAGTGAGAAAAGGTATTTGCTGCCAAGCCTGATGAACCAGGTCCCCATGTGGTGGGAAGACAGAAGAGACTCCCACCAAGTGGCACACATGCATCCTCCCCACTAATTAATTATATTAAATTAACTAATTAATCAATTTTAAAAACCTTTAGCGAGAATTAGAAGAATAGAAGCTGAGACCTACTGCTGTGATCTGAACATGTGTCCCTAAATTTTTGTTGAATCCTGACCTCAGGGGCATGATGTCAGGGGCAGAGTATTACAGGAAGTAAGGAAGTTTGGAGGGCTGAGCCCTCACGAATGGGGTTAGTGGTCTTCTGAAGGAGACCCTGGAGAGCCCCATTAACACAAGAAGACACAGTAAGAGTGCTCCAGTGTACCTTCACCAGGTTCTAAATCAGTTGGTGCTTTGATCTTGGACTTCTCAATCTCCAGGACTGTGAGAAACACGTTTCTTGTGCATAAGCTTCCAGCCTGTGGTGTTTTATTACAGCAGCCTGAATAGACTAAGACACCTGGCATAGCCAGTGACATTTGAATGGGCATGCGGGTGAACCCTAGAAAGGGTCAGGAGGACAATCATACTCCCATAAAACAGTTAAGGATCCAGTTACTTCCTAGCTGGGAAGTAACTGGATCCAGACCATGAATCCTTGTGACAGTCAGGACTCTAACGCCCAAGGCAATACTCACTCTTTCCAGAACACAGTCTCCTATTGCCAAGAAAGACACAGCCAAGAGGCATCTAACAAAAGCTGCAGAGACAGGATTCCAGCAGTTGTGAGCTGCATGATCTCCTGGAAGCTCTGCTAAGGGGTTGGAGCCAGGCCAGGAGAGTCAGAGCCTGGAGGGCAAACCCTGGGCTGAGCCATGCCTAAAGCCATCACTCCCAGGGCAGCTCAGGAAAATGAACCAAAGAATTTTTGGTCTGGGCTTTGGTTGGTTGGTTGGTTGGTTGGTTGGTTGTTTTCTCTTGGTCACTTTGGATTCGGGGTTTTGTTTTCACTTGTAAATAAGATAATTATAACTTGGGTCTGGGAGATAGTTCAGTAGGCAAATGCTGTAGCCACACATACTGACAACCAGAGTTCAGTCACTGGGACCCATGTAAAAATCTGGTACTCCTATGGTGACAAGGAAGGCAAGAACAAGACAATCAGGGAAGCTCGTGGGCCAGTTAGCAGGGAATACAATGCAGCAACAGAAGCAAGAGAGACCCTGACTTAACAGGGTGGATGGTAGGGACTGACTCCTGGAAGCTGTCCTCTGCCTTTAATCCCAGTTGTGCACACCTTTAATCCCAGCACTCGGGAGGCAGAGGCAGGCGAATCTCTGTGAGTTCAAGACCAGCCTGGTCTACAGAGAGAGTTCCAGGACAGCCTCCAAAAGAATACAGAGAAACCCTGTCTCAAAAAAAAATCGCAGTTACCAGAGGCAGTTTGAAAGTTCCTGTTACCAACAACCACATTGCTGAGGGCTCTGCAGAACATTCTTGGCTCTGTGTGTGTGTGTGTGTGTGTGTGTGTGTGTGTGTGTGTCCAGGACTACACACAAAAACCCCATGCTCCAGAACACTCAGTGACTCTGTCTTAGTCAGGGTTTCTACTGCTGCAACCAAACACCATGACCAAAAAGCAAGTCGGGGAGGAAAGGGTTTATTTGGCTTCTACTTCCACATTGCTGTCCATCACTGAAGGAAGTCAGCACAGGAACTCAAGCAGGGCAGGATCCTGGACACAGGAGATGATGCAGAGGCCATGGAGGGGAGCTGCTTACTGGCCTGCTTCTCATGGCTTGCTCAGCCTGCTTTCTTATAGAACCCAGGACCAGCAGCCCAGAGATAGCACCTTAACTGAGGTTCCATCCTCTCTGATAACTCTAGATTGTGTCGAGTTGACACACAAAACTAGCCAGTATAGACTCCCATTGTTCAAATTAAATATAAACTCTAGTTGGGCATTCAAGCCCCACTGCCACCGGCTCCTCTTTCTCAAGCCCAGTTCTACCCGATCTTCCTCCATAAATCTAATCCTACAGCTAATCCCAGCAACTATGTTGTCCAGAATGCGTCCTGTACTTTCCAGCCAGCATGTGTCTCCTCCTACCCCATCCCTGCCTGAATACCATCCTTCTCAGCGATTTTTACATCTACTTGTTTATTTATTTGTTTTAATCTCACTATGTAGCACCAGATAGCCTGGAACTTGTTATGTAGACTGTTCCAGGAGATTCAACACCTTCTTCTGGTGTCTTCGAGCATCAGGCATGCACATGGTGCACAGACATACATGGAAGCAAGACACCTATATACAAAATAAAAACAAATAAAATTTTAAAAATTTAAAAAGTAAAGTGAGCAGCGTCTGAAAACAACATCCGAGGTTGTCCTTGTACCCACTCTCAAATGTGCATATGTGCTTGCATACACACACACACACACACACACACACACACACACAGACCAAACAAACAAAAAATCCCAAAAGTGATGATAATAATTTTGGCAGGCAGATCTCTGTAGTTCAGGACCAGCCTGGTCTACAGATTGAGTTCTAGGAAAGACAAGGTTATAGAAAGAAACACGTGTTTGCTGCGCGGCCTTCACTGATCATTTTCCCTTCCTGACGTCTCATCTGTAAACCAGGTGTGCCACTGTCTTCTGAGTACTACTTACTGTGAATAGTTGAGTGCATGCAATTCCTGAGCTCTGATTACTGCAAAGTCATGGGAAGTGCTCTGGATGTTGCTCTCATTGATACTAATACTTAAAACCAGTCCCACCAAACAGAGGCCAAATCCTTGGCAGCTCTGAGCATTCAGACCCCAGGATTCAAGGAACATGGTTCCCAGAGCCATCCTGATAACCGACTTGCAGCACCTTGGAAAAGCCTCTAGGCCTGCAGTCTGGTAATCTGACACCCCACTGACAGATTTCCTAGCAGAGGACTGTGGTGGGGGAAGGGGGAAGTGCCCAATCTACACATGACTCCCCTCCCAAACCTCCCAGGCCTACTCCACTGAGTAAGGGCTCACCGCAGTGGACCTTGAGGAGGTGAGCTGGGGTATCTCTTTGAATAGAAGGGTAGGGTGGTGGCTGGTGCCCTCTTGGGACTCAGGATTTAGCCTCTACGTCAGGAGCAGGATTGGAGGTAGGCAGGTTTCCCCACGGCTAGGGAAACTGAGGGGGGATGAAGGGAGTGGGAACCCCACCGAGTGCCTGTGGAAGGAGGGCTGCAGCCCCTCCAAAGCTCAGAGTACCTGCAAGGTTTGGTTTTCCTTAGAATCTAGAAGTCTTCCTGCGGACAGGGGCGGGTTGAGCAAGTCAAACTGCTCTCTAAAACCCTGAAATCCCGGGTGAAGTCCCCGTTGTCATCCCTGAGCATTCAAACACTGAGATGCCAGGAGACATCTGTTCCAGGACCCGACTCTCTGGAGAGTACCTAGGATGCTGCTGCACGGGGACACTGAGTGGCTTTGGTCTGGCAGGCCAGCACCTCTGTTAACCCAATCCTGTGTCTCTCCACTCGAAGAAACTTTGGGCTGGCGTCCCCGCTCCCGGGCTACCCATTACCCACTCACCAGCGCACCAGCTGCCAGCGCTTCTCCCCCGGCGCCCTGCGGCCCGCCATGACTTCCGCGGAGACAGCTCCAGCTGCATCAGGACCAGTGCCCAGCGCGCTGCCGCGGGGACAGCACGGGACCCAGAGGCGCTCACCCTCCCAAAGGCCGTGCGCCCCACCCTCAGCCGACCAGCCGGGTCACGGCACTTCTCTGCAGTAGCGCGCCGGACCGCCCAGTCTTCTTCGCCTCTTTGCGGATCACAGCCTCACCCAACCGGATATCTGGGTTTCTTTGGAGCACCGAGCCAGGAGTCACGTTCTCAAAGACCTTTAGCACCTCTGTGCTTTGACCCCCTTAAACAGTTTGTTCTATTTATAACATAAACGTGAAACATAAAAAATTAAACTCTCTTAAAAGCCTAAAATAAAAACAGATGTGCCCGGAGAACGATTAAACTATTATAATACGGCAGTCATTAAAACAGTACCATGGCGGCAGCCTAGACACTGCCCACCCTAGGTCCAGCCCCACCCGAGCTGTCAACCTCCCATCCTCCCCAGATTCTATTCCTGGGAGAAGGGCAGACTAGCCCGGCTGACCGTATCAGAGGCTTGAGCAACCCAAACCTGGTAAAGGAGCTCTGAAATGTCTGTAAAGCCAGGCAAGGGGGTACTCTGTAATTCTAGGACTCAGGAGGCAGAGGCAGAAAGATCAAGAGTTCAAGGTTATCCTCACCTGCAAAGCCAGAAAAGGGCCAGCTTGGTATTCGTATACCTGTCAAGAAAGGAAAGAAGGAACAAGCAGCCCCTATCAGAGAGGAAGAGAAGGAGAAAAAGGAGGCGGAGGAGGAATGCTTAGGAGACTGCACATTCAGGGGAGCCTCCCAATTCACTGGCTTCCCATAGTAAGTCAATCCAAATGCAGTATTCCCTTGTTTTGTTTTTCTAAGATAGTGTCCTGTTATATAACCTAGGCTGGCCTTAAACTCTTGGCAATCTTCCTGCCTCAGCCTCCAAGTGTTGGGACTACAAGAGTGCACCCTCACACTGGGAAACCCTTTTGCTTTACAGGAGAGAAACTGGGCAGACTGAAGTACAAAATCTGGCTCCACACTCAGGAGGCAGAGACAGGAGGATCACTGTGAGCTCAAGGCCAGCCTGGTATACATAGTTAGACCCTGTTTCAAACAAGAAAACACAAATTTCTAGGAATTGACCTGCTACTGACCTTTGCCATTCTGTCCATACACGCCCTCTCCACTGTTCAATAAAAAAACTAAGTTACAAAAGTGGGCTTTGAAGCATGGGCCTGCAATACTAGTACTCAGAAGACTAAAGCAGAAGACTTTAGTAAGAGGGTTTTTTAATACTAAGATTCCATAAATTCTAAGTATCCCCACCCAGGCCTTCCACAGCATCTCAACTAAGCAATAGCAGGAAAGCAGGAAGGCCCACACACCCACATGTAAGCGCTGCAGGACACCATACGAGAGAGAGAGAAGGAAAGAAACACAGTAATTTGGAGCTGGAGTGTCTGGCATGGGGCTGACAATTCCTTCTAAGCAATCTTTCTTTAATCTTCTCAAGTGAAATTGGCATGCAGACCAAGGAAACCAAATGGAAAGTCTAAAATCACCTCCAAGGTAGAGTTGTGAGTGCACGTGTGTTCAGTGAGGATGTGGTTACCCTGTAATCCCAGCATGGACGAGAGAAAACTTCAATATGGAGGCATAGAGGATGGATCCCAGTAGTGTCTGCCCAGCACAGGCAACGCCCAGTCTGGGCTACATAGTGAGTTCTAGGTCAGCCTGAGCTACAGTGAGAGTCTCTATGTCAAACAAAAAGAGTTGGGGGTGTAGCTCAGTTTGGTGGAGTTCTTGGGTAATATGCACAAAGCCCTGGGTTCAATATCGTGGCTCATGCATGTATTCCCAGCATTGAGAATGGGGACAGGGAACAGAAATTCAAGGCCACCCTCAGCTTCATAGTGAGTTGGAGGCCAGCCTAGAATGCAAGAAACCCTGTCTCAAAAAGAAAGGAGGGGGAAGCCGGGCGGTGGTGGCGCACGCCTTTAATCCCAGCACTCGGGAGGCAGAGGCAGGCGCATCTCTGTGAGTTCCAGGCCGGGCTGGACCAACAGCCTCCAAAACAATACAGAGAAACCCTGTCTCATAAAACCAAAAAAAAAAAAAAAAAAGAAAGGAGGGGGAAATGACATAAAAAAAAACCCTTTGGGAAGAGAAAGTAAAGGTGGAGGAAGAAGGAATTTTTAGTTTTTAAATATGAGCATGTCTTTTGCTTGTTTGGTTAGTTGGTTGGTTGGTTGAGTGGTTGGTTGGTTGGTTGGTTTTGGTTTTTGAGGTAGAATTTCTTTGTGTCACCTTGGCTGTCCTGGAACTCACTCTGTAAACCGGGCTGGCCTCGAATTCAGAAATCCACCTGCCTCTACCTCCTGAGTGCTGAGACTAAAGGCATGCACTATCACCCAGTGAGAATGTCCTACTTTTTTTTTTTTTTTTGGTTTTTCGAGACAGGGTTTCTCTGTACTGTTTTAGAGACTGTCCTGGAACTCGCTCTGTAGACCAGGCTGGCCTTGAACTCACAGAGATCCGCCTGCCTCTGCCTCCCGAGTGCTGGGATTAAAGGTGCACCACCAACGCCGGGCCCGAGAATGTCCTACTTTTATGAGTCTTTTTTTAAGATTTTTTTATTTATCATGTAGTTTTCTGCCTGCATGTATGTCTGCATGCCAAAAGAGAGCAACAGATCTCATTAGAGATGGTTGTGAGCCACCATGTGGTTTCTGGGAACTGAACTCAGAACCTCTGGAAGATCAGCCAGTGAGCTCTCTCTCCAGCCCCTGGGAGCCAGGCAGTGATGGTAGATGTCTTTAATCCTGGTCTCCAGAGGCAGAGGCAGGCAGATCTCTGAGTTTGAGGCCAGCATGGTCTACAGAGTGAATTTTTGGACAGCCAGGGCTACACAGAGAAACCCTGTCTTGGAAAAAAAAACATTAGAGCCTAGGAACATGAGGACCTGAAATCAAATCTTCAGAACCCACTTAAAAAGCTGGGCATGGCTGGGATGGCAATGGGACTGCAGTGACAGGAATGTCACTGGGACTTACTGACTGCCAACTGAGCTGCACTGCAGATTCAGTGAGTAACCCCACCTCAAGGGAATTAGGCAGACCATAGTAAAATGGGACACCCAGCTTCCTCTTCTGGTCTCCACACAATGTACAGCTGCACACATGACTGTATGAGCACATAGAAACAGGCACAAAAAATAACTATCTGCAATATGTATATAACCATATGTATTACCTGGGTGGTGAAATTACAGACCCTATCTTCTTTGTTAAAAATGAGAAAGAAAGAAAGAAACAAAGAAAGAAAGAAAGAATCAAATGGCAGAGACTAAAGCAGGTTTCCATCAATTAGGGACTGGGGAGACGGCTCAGTGGGTCAAATGCTTGCTGCACAAGAATGAGAGCCTGAGTCTGGATTCCTGCCACCAATGTAAACCTGGTGCAATGGTATATGTCTGTAATCCTGGTGCTGGGGAGTACAGACTCACCCAGGAGGCTCAATGGCCAGCCAGTCTAAGTGAAACAATGAGCTCCAGGTTCTATAAGAAGACCTTGCTTCAAAAATACAAGGTGGAAGCCTGGAGAGATGGCTCCCGGGTTAAGGATACTGGCTGCACACACCTTTAATCCCAGCACTCAACAGGCAGAGGCAGGTGGATCTCCGTGAGTTTGAAGCCAGCCTGGTCTACAGAGTGAGTCCCAGGATAGCTAGGGTTACACAAAGAAACACTATCGAAAGGAAGAGAAAAGAAAAAATGAAGAGAAAAGCACTGGCTGCTCTTCCAGAGGTCCTGAGTTCAATTCCCAGCAACCACTTCAAGGATCACAGTCATCTATAATGAGATCTGATACCTTCTTCTGGCCTGCCGTTGTGCATTCAGATAGAGTATTCCTATACAGAAAATATGTAAATAAATAAGTCTCTAAAAAAATACAAGGTAGAGAAGAAATTAAGGAAAACAATCTAACAGTTTCTGGCCTCCCCATGTGCTGTCACAGGTGAGCATACTCACCCTTCCACTCCTCACACACTCATACCCCCTCACACACAAGTGTGAAAATCAGACTATAAAATAATAATGTTTCAAACAAATAAAAGACAAAAACCAACACAAAAAGTTAGTTGTCATATCCCTTCAGGAGACCCCCACAGCTCAGTGATGCTGTCCTGTAGAGACAGTAAGAAGCCTGGCGGTGGTGGCACATGACTTTAATCCCAGCACTCAGAAGGCAGAGGTAGGTTAATCTTTGAGTTCAAGGCCAGCCTGATCTACAGACTGAGTTCCAGGACAGCCAGGGCTACACAGTGAAGCTGTCTCAAAACATGCCCCCCCCCAAGACAGTAAGGAACTGAGAGCAGGACCAGGCTGGCCTTCCCTCCCAAGAATTTCTTAGGCAGGATGAAGAAGACCAGCCTACAGCAGAGCCGGAGTTCATGCAGGGCTTTGAAGATGACACAAGTCCCTATCAAATACAAACTGCCAGTCAAAGCAGCTAAGACTTTCAACTCTTTGAGGCTTATAATTGGCCAAGAGAAGCTAAAGTTTTTATTCATTGACACCCAAGTCCAGTTAAGTCTCAGAGATTTATGAGACAGCTGTGTGGTAGTGTATGCATGGGATCCCAACACTCAGGAGCCTAAGGCAGGATTGGGAGTTTAAGGCCAGCCCAGGCTACATAGTGAGTTCAAGGCCAGTTTGCATCAAGTGGTAGATCAAGACCGTATTTAAAAGAAGAGGGCTAGGCAGTGGTGGCACAAGCCTTTAATTCCAGCACTTGGGAGGCAGAGTTAGGCAGATCTCCAGGTTCCAGGCCAGTCTGATCTGCATAGGGAGTTCCAGGACAGCCAGGGCTACACAGAGAAACCCTGTCTTGAAAAAAAACAAACAAACAAAAAAGAAGAAAAGGAGGGGGAGGAAGAAGAGGAAAGAAAAGAAAAAAGAGGGAAAGAAGAAATCTGGGCATAATGGTGCACACTTTTTTACTCAGAACTCAGGAAGCATAGTCAGGTCAGGAGGATCTCAATGAGTTCAAGGCCAACCTGGTCTACAAAGCAAGAGAGTTCCAGCCCAGCTAGAGCTACATACTGAGACTTTGTCAAAAAGAAAAAAAAAAGTTAAGGCCTTCTGAAAATTTGGCCCAAGAGAAAAGCAAATATTTGTCTTGCAGTGGAGTAAGAAAATCCTGACCAATCGTCTTCTGGTCTGAGTCCCTTAAACCACCACCTTCAGTGTGCCAAGGTCGAGTTGCCATTGGGAGCTTTGAGCCACCTGTCACTCACTCAGAGCATCTGATTCCATCATCGTACAGGTGTCTAATGAGCCCTCAACCCTGTAGTAAGTACACTCCATACACCACCATCGGTCTAGGAAAGAGAAAGATGCTGACGGACCCACATCTATAAGGCGAGCAGAGCAACTCTAGAAACCTATTTACAGCAAAACAGCTCAACACCAGCTCCTGACACATTTTAGGGACTTTAGAGTTTATAAAGGATCTTTCCTTGGTTCTGTGTATCATAACATACGAGGTGAGGTGACTCACCCAAGGTCACAAAACTAATGAGAGGTCTAGCACAGCTTTGCTGCCCCCTAAACCAGGAGCAGATTTCCAGACTTGCCCGCCAGCAGCTCACGGGCATCCCAACCTTTCCCTCGCAGGCTGCGGGGCGCTGCCTATGCTAGAAGGGCGGAGCGGATCCCGGCCTGCGGGCCTGGGCGCTGTCCGCGGTGCTGATCGGTCTCCGCGTCCCCGCTCGCCTATTCGCCTGCGGTATCTCGGTTCCCTCCTCAACTCCCAACCAGGACCATCTCCGAGGATTCGGCCGCCCGCAGGGTGCGGAGGCCCGGATCCCGGGGCTCCCCCGAAGTCCCGGGGCTCCCCCTCCCCCGCCCCCACCCCAGTCGCCAGACGCCAGCCTTCCCTCCCCCCCGCCCCGCCCACGGCCCCTCCCCGCGCGCCCCAGGTCCCTCCCTTCCCCCTTATCTCTCCCGCCCCCCCCCGCCCCCTCCAGCTGGTTCGCCAGTTCCGGTCACGTTGCTGGGTGTTTACGCCCGGAGCCCGCCCCGGGCCCCCCGCCTCTGCGCCCCGGAGCCCCCCGGAGCCCTGGCCCCCGCGCCCCACCGCTTAGCAGCAGCTGATGGCGCCGCAACCGGGCCGTGCGCTGCGGATCCCTGAGCGCAGCTAGCGCGGGGGAAGAGCTCTTTCCTAGACCCAGCGAGGCCCGGGCCCGGCCCGCCGGCTCCCTCGGGTCCGCAGGTGAGGAGGCCGGGCGGTGGTCGTCGAGGGTGGGCGCTGGCCGGGTGGCCGGGGTGATGAAGAGAGCGTCAGAGCTGAGGTTCCGCCCGGAAGGCTGCGCGGAGCTGGGCACCGCAGCGCGCGGGAGGCGGACAGGACGCGGGCTGCTGGCAGAAGTTGTCCTCCGCCGCTAGACCCGGGCCCTTCCCGGCGCTGGAGGAGAGTCCAAGCAGTCCGCACCACCGCCTACCACCTCCCACCACTAGAGCTGTTCTGCCTGCTTTTCATGTCCTAACTGGTACCTCTCTTCCCTATGCTCTGTGGTATTCATACCCCTCACCCCTACCCCCCACCCAGCGCCCCACACGGCTCTGGGAGTCAAATTCGAGGCACAAACTGCAGAGCATTAAGTGAAGGGGGGGGTCCAGTTTTTCCAGACACCTCAGTCCCTCGTACCTGAATTCCCAGCATTGCTGAGGTTGGGGTTGTGGGTTCTTTAGTGGAGCGGGGAGCCAGAGTTGAGGCGTGTTTAGGAGGAGGGACTTTGGAGTGAGGAAGGATCACAAGTGCCTGGAGAATGTGGCTCTGCCACCAGCTTCCTCCACCTTGCAGACGAAGTCCCAGACATTTGTCAAAGGCCAAATCTTGGATCCAGACTCGTCCTCAGGAGAGCCAAGGACTTAGTGGGGGTGGCAGAGTAATTATGTTTTAATTCGTGTACTTACTTGCCCTGGTGATTCCCAGTAAGACTCAATTCATTCTCTGTGCTCCACTATTGGCTGTGTGGTTTGTTTCTTACAAGGGATTCCCAGAGTCCGAGCAGCCGGGAAGAAGACTACAGAACACAAGGAGAGATCAGATTTCGGGAGACAGAAACTGGGTGGAGTGTAGAAAGTCAGGGGACGGCATGGTTACACGGAGAACTTACCTTGAGGGCAAGAGGTAGTATCCAAAAAAAAAAAAAAAGAAAGAAAAAGAGTTTAGCCTGCAGATGTAAAGTGAGGTTGCCTTATGAGATATCTGTGTTCCAGACAGAGGGCCTTACGTCTCTGAAATTCTATTTCTTCATCTCTGGAGTGGATTATGAAAAGGACCGCCAGTGTAGGGTTAATATCAGTTAACGTGTAAAATACTGCTGACAACAGTACTTAGACTTGTGTGAGTTAGTGTCCTTGCCTGTGCCCTCAGGCATGGACTTAGGAAGGCTTCTAGGATCTGCTTTCCTTTTGCCCTGGGCCTCTGAGTCAGAGGGTGAAGAGGAATAATGACTAAGAAAAATTTAAAAACGCCTGGCAGTGGTGGCACACAGCTTTAATCCCAGTACTTGGGAGGCAGAGACGGGAGAATCTCTGTGAATTTGAGGCTAGCCTAGTCTACAAAGCAAGTCCCTGGACAGAGTCCAAAGCTACAGAGAAACCCTGTCTCAAAAAAGAAAAAAAAAAACAAAACAAGAAAAAGAACACAGGGATTCATTTATTTACTCATTCATTGCTCTGCCTCACCCAGATAATATATCTGCTTTGGCTATAAGAACAACAACAATAAATTAAGTTTAGCCTTCCCCTAGAAACAAGGAGCCATACATTCTTAAAGAACAGTAAGAGTGCTAGCCAGGCAGTGGTGGCGCACGCCTTTAATCCCAGCACTCGGGAGGCAGAGGCAGGCCGATCTATGTGAGTTCGAGGCCAGGCTGGACCGACAGCCTCCAAAACAATACAGAGAAACCCTGTCTCGTAAAAACCAAAAAAAAAAAAAAAAAAAAAAAAGGTACAGAAATATGTGTTGACCCCACAGATGTCTTTAGCCTCAAAGAGAAAAAGAAGCACTAAGAATGAAATTGAAACTGGAACAAGACAGTCAAGGCATGAGCGGGGCACACTGAAAAGTCCGTGAGATCTGAAACAGGAAGTCCAAGCTGCTAGACTGCCCTGAAGGAAGGATAGGGCAGAAAAGAATGGGGGAACATAGGGCAGGCTGGAAAGGTGGGGGGCAAGAGGGATTTAAACATCTTAGGGAAACTTCAGATTCACCAGGAATGATGGCATATGCCTGCAATCCCAGCTAAGGATGCTGAGGCGGGAAAATTGCCATCAGTTGGAGGTTAGCCTGGGTTGCATAGTGCATTGCCGTCCATCCTGGACTACAGAGTAAGACCATTTTCAACAACAGCAATAGTAGTAAAGTAATTAATGAATAAAAAAAGTTTCATAAATTCATTAATTTATTATGTATACAGCATTCTGCCTGCATGTACACCTGCACTGCAGGCCAGAAGAGGGCACCAGATCTCATTATAGATGGTTGTGAGCCACTGTGTGGTTGCTGGAAATTGAACTCAGATCCTCTGGAAGAGCAGCCTTAACCTCTTAACCTCCAAGCCATCTCTCCAGTCCCATTTTAAACTTTTGGTTAGCAGACACCTTTTCTTATGCAAAAGTTTATCCTAGAAAAGACCACTAAAGGGGACTGGAAAGATGACTCCAAGTATAAACTCAGATGACGGTCTAAATTTAATCCCAGATCTCAAAGTGAAAGGAGAGAACCAACCCCCAAAGTTGTTCTTTGACCTTTACGTGTTCACGGTGACCTTAAGGGCCTCCCCCACCCCCCCACATACTTGGGCAAACGCACACACACACACACACTACATGGACAGTAAAATTTTTTCTCAAAATAAAAGATTAAAAGCAAAAGCCATCAACCCACCAAGTGTGGTGACACAGACATGCTTTTAATGCCAGCGGGTCTCTGTGAGTTGGAGGCCAGTCTGATCTACATGGAAAGACGCTGGCTCAAAGGCAGTGAGGGTGCATGCCTTTAGTTCCAGCACTCAGGAGGCAGAGGCAGGAGAATCTCTAAATTTGAGGCCAACCTGGTCTACAAAACTAGTTCCAGCACAGCTAAGGCTATTACACAGAGAAACCCTGTCTGGGATGGGATGGGAGGTGCTATCTCAAGGGGGAAAAAAGAGCAAAGCCACCAACCCTACCCTCTGGCATCTAACCCCTCCACCCAGATGCTGAATTCTAGAGCTTTATAGAGCAAAAAGTGAAAGTCGTTGGCTGAGATGACTCAAGTCCAGAGTACCATGATTCTACGCTTCCTAGGTATGGTCAGCCCAAATAACTATAAGAATTGAGAAGAGAGAACTAAGTTTCCTATGCCTGTGTTAGTTGTGGGCAGATAGAAAGGAAAGTGGAGACCAGAGGCTAGCAGGGGCTAAATTACAGGGTCAGGAGGTCAGGGCTCAGAGAGACAGAATGCGTAAGGCCAGTAAGAAGCCTTAGCAGATAAGGGCTCTTGCTGCCAAACTTGATGGCCTGAGTTCCATTCTTGGGACTCATATAGGAGACAGCGTGAACTGAGTCCCTTAGGTTGTCCTCTGATCTCTACATGCATGCTGTGGTATGCATGAGCTTGCCACATGCGCGTGTAAATAAATAAATAACAATTAATTAATTTTAAAAATTTAAGCTCAGAATTGTGCCAGGACCAGACACTTCCTGTGCCAGCTGCTTGGCTAACGGTTGAGGTCTTGAGAATCTGAGGCCTTTTCTACCAACCTTCCCAAAGGGAAGAGATACTTGTACCTCCCAGACCCATGAGACATGTGTCAGCAGGACTTGGAATTAACTATAAACTTTGCACCTTGCGCCACAGGTCCTTTTTAAATTCTGGGTGCTTTTTTATTTTAAGATTTATGTATTTTATGCAGGAGTGCTCTTTCTGCATGTATGCCTTTATGCCAGAAGAGGTCATCAGATACCACTGTAGATGGTTGTGAGCCACCATGTGGATGCTGAGAACTGAACTCAGGACCTCTGGAAGAGCAGCCAGTGCTCTTAACTGCTGAGCATCTCTCCAGCCTGTGGGTGATTTTTTTTTTGTTGTTTTGTTTTCGAGACAGGGTTTCTCTGTGGCTTTGGAGGCTGTCCTGGAACTAGCTCTTGTAGACCTGGCTGGTCTCAAACTCACAGAGATCTGCCTGCCTCTGCCTCCTGAGTGCTGGGATCAAAGGCGTGTGCCACCACCCAGTGGGTGATTATTCTTTTTTTTTTTTTTTTTTTTTTTGGTTTTTCGAGACAGGGTTTCTTTATATTGTTTTGGAGGCTGTCCTGGAACTTACTCTGTAGACCAGGCTGGCCTCAAATTCACAGAGATCCGCCTGCCTCTGCCTCATGAGTGCTGGGATTAAAGGCATGTGCCACCAACACCCGGCTACAGTGGGTGATTATTCTTAAGCTATGTTTTGTTGTATTTAATTTGTGTGCAGGGTGTGTGTGTGCATGCGATAACATGCCTGTGGGGGTCAAGGAACAACTTGTGGGAGTGGGCTCTCTCCTTCTGCCATGCTGATCCAGGTCTTCTGTTCATTTCATCAAACCTAGTCCCAAGCTCCTTTACCTACTGAACCATCTTTCCAGGCCTTTAGTGATTTGTAGTTGTTAATGAACTTTTTTTTTTCCTATCGAGCTACAAAATTAACATGGGAAAGAACTAGGAATACCAGGAGCAGAGAATCAAGGCAGACCTTGAAGTGGTGGGGACAGTTGACAGAGGCAGAGGATGTGAAACTCACTCAGCATCTGAAGGCAGGGAGTAGACAGAGCTGGCAGTGTGAACCCTCCGGCTGCTGCCGCCTGTCTAAACCACATCTAGGACACAGCTTCTGACGCCCGGTGGTCCTAGGACTGCATGTATGTCGTCACGACCTGCCGATTACCTGCCTCAGCTATTCTGATGTGCTGCAATTCCTCAGCCACATAGAGTCCCGACTGCTCCTAGTTCCCCCTCCACTCCTCCCCAAACACTCCTCACAGTAATGTCTAAGAATGAAAACTTGCCAAAATCGTTTGTGACCCAAATTTCCGCCCTAAGAAGAAAGAGCAGCCTGCCCAGTTGGAAGCGAGTGGTCGAGCCCATTTGGGAACGAACAGAAACAGCTGGTTGGCTCAGCGTCTCCTGTGGCCGCATCCAGGCTCTAGGGCTGTGTGGGAAGGACTTTTACCCTTCACAGTCAT